GGGTGGGATGCAGCGAATGCAAATGTAGCGTTGGGTTGGCGGGGGATGGGGCGTGGTGGGGGTTTGGGAACAGGGATAGCAGAGGCGGCACGATGGGGCAGTCGAGACGGGGGATGCTATGGAGACCGTGGATATGCTGGGGACGGTGAGAACAGTGCGAGCGGGGGGGGAAGCGGGGGGTGGCTGAGATAGAAGGGGGCGGGAGCGGCGAGACTGAGGTCCGGCGGGGTAGCTAGGTCGGAGGGAGTAGGGGCATGGGGTGGGCTGCCAGGGATGAGGCGAGGCGGGAAGCGCGAGGGGTGTTTGGCGGCGGGAGCGCGGGGGTGGCGACGGCAGCGTGGGAGCGGTAGGCGGGGAGGCGTGGGAGGGGAGGCGTAAGCGGGAAAGCGTGGGCGGGAGCAGAGAGCGGGGATGGCGGAGCAGTTGTGCGCTTTCTGCGGCGAGCCTCTCCCCCCGCGCCCCGCTGCTTTCCCGCACGGTCGTCGAGCTTTACTGTGCTCTCAGACGAGTGCAAGAGATTCGCGGCATGCCGGCGAATACTGCTGGGAGATGTTTTGCGTGTACAGGATATTGTCTGAGAAGAAGACTGCGTGAGAAGTACGGAAATATTCACGAAGTTGAATGAAGTAATGTTTTGTTGTTGACAGTAAATAAATAGGGGTATGGGTGTCTAGATTCTGAAATAGTCCTGGAGAGAAATTATTAACACAAATGCCTCTTTTGGTATTGAATAATGTGTGTATACTTTCTTTTAAACTAGATTGTAACTACTTTTAAAGAAATAATCTACCCAAACGGGGGAAGGGGAATCTTTTTTCCTCTTTAACAGGAATAGAAAGCTTCCTAATAACACGAGATGTACTCATGAAATTCATGTGATTCTCAGATTATTCGAATAAAAAATATTAAAATATATTTGTAATGCATTTAAGTAGAATAGTGTAGGATACATTTTTGTGATAGAGAATTTCCAAAAAAACAAAAACAAACAACAACACAATTTAGATCTGACAGTGACTAATACTTTCTTAATGCAGTTTATGTATGTTCTTGTTCTTTATTACTCATAGAGTGATGTTTTTAACCTTGCGCGTTTTACTCATTACAGAAACCGGATGTTTACTTGAGAATTCGTCCGTTTGTTTGCACCAGTGCCTCGTCATTTCCGTAGAAATGTTTCTTTGCTCATTATTTGACTCACTAAGAAGAGCTTATTATGGTAACTGGCCTTTATAGTTTCGTAAAATTTTATGTAAAAAACAAGAAGTGCAAGGAGCACTTCTGTAAAGTTGATTTTTGCTTCTGAAACCTAATGTCCTGGTACTTGAATTTTGTGGAATTATTAATGTAATGTTACAATTCAGTTATTTTTTGCCATGATTATTAAGTGAATACCGAAAAGAAACCATTAAAAACCGAAGTATTTTGCAATTCATTGAAATGACTTTGCAAAGAGTTACTATAATTTAGAAGTTACGAATGCACCATTCTCCTCTGCAGAATACCACAGGAAATGTGCTTCATAAAATGTTCATGGATCGTCAGCACTTCTTTAATAGATCTGTAAATTCCTTTCTAATATTTCTGAAATGCTCCACTATATTCCGGTGACCTTTCCGTAGAAAGTAAATTGTGGACATCCGGAAGGCTTACTCACCTTGTACGTCTCGTCGACGATCTGGGCGGGCTGGCGGGACAGGAAGTCGTACTCGGGGTCGTCCACGTTATTCTCGTCTCCGCCGGACGCGCGCACTTCGACTACGCTGGACACAATAGGTGGGGCAGGGGCTGCGGGGTGCACTTCAACCTGTGGGAAGAAACTCTGCTTTTTAACTCGCACACTGTAATACATTTGGTCACTTCTTATTTCGTACTTATACACATTTTTTCTGGTTAAAATGTTTTCTTTTGAATTATTTTTTTCACACATTGCACAGAACCTAAAAACTAATTTATAATTTCGATCATTACACAGCAATTTCTCATTTTTATTTTCTAATCTGATGCGATAATTGGTTAATATTATTTTTTTTAATGTTCGAAAGAAGATGAAATGGTACATTTTTATTTTGCTTTCTTCTTTGAATAATTAACCTACTTTTATGTAATATACGTTATGTAAATATAACCAAAAAATGTAAATGCTAAGAAAATTATTCTTAATATAATACTATTATCTATTGAATTATTATTATTAATATTATATAAATCTACACTATTTTCACTGTATAATTTGAAGAAATTTATTCAATATAATTTAATGCGGTGCAATTTCCCACATCTAACCGGATTTTCCCCCGGAAGGCAAGAAAAACATTTCCGGCGGCGGCAGAATGCGCGTTCTGAGCTGGCGACGCAGGCGGTAGTAAATCGGATTATTTTTTGATGACGCCTTCTACTGCATAAATTGGCCGTCATATAGCGAAGGCGGAATCCCGTCTGCGTGCGGGAGGGAGACGAGGGATAAGAGCTTTCCGCTTGGGCGTTTGCATGGGCGTAGCCGAGAAGCGAATGTGCTCATTACGAAATTGAGTATTAGATTCTCCAAATTAATGAAATGAACCGAAAGGACGAATCTGGAGATGTCACAATTAATTTTCTGGATATGTTTATTTAGTGGATATCGTGACGTTTGGGTCTTGTACAAAATGGCTTGAGAATGCTATACATTGACTAACCTTCTTAGTGTACTTCAAATAAGTATGTTATGAACATTTTTTCCATTTATTGCTAAGAATATAAGTTGAGTGAAAAACATGACTAGAATAGAAAAACATTTAACTTTAATTATACTATGAGAATAATGTTTATTGTGGCAACTACAAAAAGGTCATTACTAAAAAATGCATTTACGTTTGCTCGAACAACCTGAGAAAAATGTCGCTATTTATTTCCATAAAGTCTCATATTGTAACAATGTTGAGTGTACATGCTATCACCATATAAAAGTTTTGTTTAAAATTTTAACGAGGAGCGTGATTTGCGCAAACGAAATACCGCTTGTGAACAGATTTTCTCCGTTTCGTTCATTTCCCGCTTCCGTTAGTGCTTGTATCGCAGCAACCCCTCCACCCGTTTTGCCCTGAGGGTGTACCACCCTCCATTGCTTTTCGCAGGAATCCTAATGAGCGAATATGAGTGGAGAGCTCTTTAAGGGGCTGCATCCGACCGGGGAGAGTCTTCTCTCGAACTCGCAATTGCTTTCGATTGTTGAGAAAGAGCTTTGCACCCAAAAAACTCTCGTTACGAGATGCTTTCTTGAGAATCCTATTTCAACTTTTTGAAGAGGAGTGCATTCATAAATGCTTGCCGTCTGTGCAGTCATTTTCCGTACGGCAAAGCTCTCCAGTAGAATCAAAAGGGCAGAATAAATTGCTACTGTGTTTGCTGCTTCATTCGCATTTCTAGTGAAGGGATCGTAAATGACATTCAAACGAAATATTTTTTGAAGTACTTCAGTTTTCGAGTTAATTAAATAGATACTTAACATTTCGCAATATGTAATGAATTAGCACTAGTACTTAAAAGTTTGTAGGCTCAAAGAACGGTAAGTTTACATGTAAATGGAAAAGACTGAAATAATATAGTATGACCAAGAATAGTTAGGCATTTTACTTTGAGTGGTATTGTATTTGGGGATCTAATTCAAATGCTTAACAATTATTTCAAAACTGAAATTATCTTTAATTACATTACAACAGTATAAAAGCGATTCTTTTCTTCTTTTCGAAGAACTGTAGTGATGAATGAAGACACTAAAGAACATTTGCTTGACCATATTATTTGTAATTAAGCCTAATTATTTCTAGTGATTATAAGCAATATTGAAATGCGTTTACATGAAAATGCCATTAACACTCAACGATAGTAAATAGCCACTACGTTAAAAGCTAAATATGTTAAATTTTCCTTTCATTTAATTAAATCCTCTCCTAGAAATTAACTCGATTCTCAATAAATAGAGTATTTTGGTTAACGACCTTTAGATCAAATATTTTAGTGAAATAGTTAAGAACATGACCTTCAGTATTTCTTTATGCACCTTCGTAATCTAATTTTCAATCTTAAATTTAGTTGCGATTAATATGAATAACAGTTCAAAAACTGAATGCGTTTTTTTCAAAATTTGTCTCTGTTATACGATTCAAGTGCATCACACAGTTTAAAAAATAATATTCATTGAATTATTGTATGCTAATTTTGTTAAATTATACTTTAGCTTGCCCACTCTACTTTGAAGCATTGAAAAAAGCATGCAGAGGGAATCGTCATACTTTTTAACGCAGGAGTAATTATCTTTCAATAAAATTTCTTTGACGCCAAATTTTCTTTTCGCTTTTAAGAACAAAAGATTAACAACCAAGATAAAACGACTCACTCGCGCAATTTCAAGACACACTCCGACTCTTGATCTCCGAGGTTTAATAAATCAAGGAAAATTGTCATACTTAACGCATCAATGCCCTTTTACGCCAAGAATCAAGAGTGTTTTTGCCATTTCTGCTATTCCCACAACGACCTCAAAAGGAATGGTTAAGATGAAGTTCACTTTCTATTTTTTATGAAGAAAACCATAGTAATATTTAATAACATATATTGATACTCAAAGCTTATGTTACAGTTGCCTGATTCACATTAGTTATTACGAATCGTTCTATTCTAACAGAGTGAATTAACTTCAAATTATTCCTATATTTATTCTTGAATACATTTTACTGTGTGCCAGTCGTCTACAGGACGTATAATATTAATACCATTAGTGTTTTCTAATCTTATATATTATGAGTATTATATTAATATTAGTAATATTAATATTGTCAGCTTTCGCGTTTGGTCTCAATATTGATATAGCTTACCAGACAGATATATCGAAGTCGAAATATTATTTCTTTAAAACGTTTCTTCCGCAACTAGACAAGGACTATCGTCACGGTAAGCAATATCAACTATCAATATCGTTCAATATGAGTACGTTAATTCTCTTTCCACCGGTATCTCACCTTGGTGTTGCCTTCGCGCACCTCCACCTTGCTGGCGACGACGCTGGCGGGGCCACGCACCTCCACCACGCTGGAGGGCGGCGCGGGCGGCGGGGCGGGGCCGCCGCGGACCTCCACCACGCTGGACACGATGGCGACGTGCGCGGGCGCGGGCGCGGGCGCCGGCTTGGCCTCCGCCTGGGGCTTCTTGGGCGGCGGCGCGGGCGCCACGCTGGGCGCCGCCTTCTTGTCGGAGCTCTTAGCGGCGCCGGTCTTGCTGGGCTTGATCTCAGGCGCCGCCGACGCCGTCGGGGGCGGCTTCGTCTCGATGACGGACGCCGGAGCCGACGGGGGTTTGGGCGCCTCTGCAACGGGCAAGAAGAGTACGTTCGTGAGGGGCAAATGCACAATTTCTGTTATAAGAGTTACTGCTATTACAATTTCGGCCGAAGAACTGAACTCTTTAAGAGAACTATGATCATATTTTAAAGGTATTTTTACTCGTATTAAGGGATAGAATGACTGAAATTGTCTTGCATATCACTCATATTTAGTAATTTATTACTGATATATATATATATATATATATATATATATATATATATATATATAAAATATATAATATATATTATATATATATGTTTGTGTGTGTGTGTGTAGATTCAACCTGTAACACGCTGCAACGTACTACTATCGCATAACTCGGATTCTGCTACTTAAAACCAGATTTTTGTATTTTGTTTTGTATAAGATATGACATATCTCTTGTCTGAGATATTAGACATCTGACACCCATGGGAACCATACTCAATTATTTGCCTGTAATAGCTTAGGAAATTATTTCGTATTAGCTAACAGAATATACGCACAAGGTTCAGTAAACTGAGTGAAGTATTTGTCATAAACTGAAGGTCTTGTAAATACAAAAATATGAGCGTCGTCTGCGTGTCAACAGAGGAATTTTGGAGAACGTCATACACTTCGCTAGATGCGTATTTTAACCCAATACGAGGGACAAACAATAAACTATACTAAAAGTGACCTTTACCTCTCTTTGTCTACCGCACTTGACAAACAACAGGCATTCGAATTTCTCAAAGAGCCTACTTTTCTTCGCAAAAGATGAAACGCAATCCCTTGGCGAAATGTGGAAAACTTCTATTGTACGCCCACAAACAAAACCGCTGTGTTCGCCCGAGGTGTCGGTGGAAGGACCCTGAGCACAAAGCGCCTGTTGTCCTATTTCCATCGATGAAGCTCCCGCCGGATGCCTTCTGCTCATTAGCAGAAGGTCAGAATTTGCGCGGAGACGGAGATTCTTCGGGCGCCGGCAAAAGGAGCCATAAGGGTGCTTTGCCGAAAGGTCGCTTGTAAAGCAGATGCTTGATAGTGAGTGACACAATGAACATGAATTGCTTGTGTGTACAATGATTTTATTTTGATTAATTAAATAAATTAAAATATGATCCGGATAATGATATAATCTTGCACGTGTCTCATAAAATATTACCTACTTTATCTTTAATCACGCAATAAAAACACTACGTTATTTAGAATATAAATGATAATTTCTCTATGTTTGCCATATGATAATTTGCACAATTTTTATACTATTGAATGTGTTGCTTTTGTGCATTTCAAACACGCATTTTCAACACATTTCATTAACTGATAAATTACTAAATAGAGAAATACGATTTTCCTTCGTATGTTTTACACAAACATGTGCTACAGTTGCCTGATTTTCTCGCACAAATAATCATACAGATGCATAAATTGATGCCATATTAAATACGATACTGTGATTAATAGGGAACGCATTCGATTGTTTTCAGAGTTTTATTGGGCGAAGATAATCAATTAAAATGTAATAAATATCTCCAAATAAAATAGATACTTACGTGAAGATGAAAAAAAAGATAAGTTGTTGAAGTGAGCCAAAATGATCTAAAAGACTTGGACAAGAAAATAAGTAAAATATATTATTATTTTAGTGACATTCAAAATATATGTTTGCCAATTAATGTTTTTTAACCCATTCCTCCTCGTAAAACAACATTTACAAACACCGTCTTCCCTAAATTGAGACTGTGACCTTTCCGCCCTCTAGAGTCAAAAAAGCGCCTTTATTAAAAATTTTAAAAAAGCGTTTTTATTAATTTGAACATTCATTATTATTTATGATATTTATGATGATATATGTAATGTAAATATATATCACAAAATTTACTGCTCAATATTTTCATTGATTTGGTCAGACTTATGTAGAATAATGTGTAATTTAATACAAAACTAATCCACAATACATCAAAATATCCTGATCTGTAGGATAATGTTTAATTTAATACAAAACTAATCTACAATACATCAAAATATTGTGAAAAGTTTCTTTCTCATGAAACCTTTCTAGTCCGTTTTCTTCCCTGTTGTGAAGAAACCTACTGCTTCTTTCAAGTTATCATATGATTTGTAAGACCAGTTATCTATAAATGTCTTGCTTGTAGATGCTCCAGTGTGAAGTATTGAAAGTTATATTAGATTGAGATGACAATAGAATGTTATTAAATACTGAAAAATTCAGATGATGTCAACTACAGTTCATGAAATGATATTGTGAAGTAAGTTATTACAATTTGAAAGAAACATCCTTAAAAAAATGTCAATTTCAGGGACGCTCCAAAATATAGTTCAAACATCTACAATGTCTCCGTGCTATGTTTGCATGAAAAAAAATTCAACTAAACTATACAAAGAACATTCAGTGTTCTTTCCTTCGGAAGGGGAGTAGAAACATTGAAAAGATAATCGAAAGTCACCATATTAATTTTAAATAATTTATTAAATTTATTAAATAATTCCACTTTCAATGCTATGGAATTCCATCTCCGGAACTCTAAATTTCCGTGTGTAAGTGGAGAAATACCCATTCATTATTTTTATTTATTCCTCCTGAAATTTGAATATTAGTGTATGTGAAAGTGCTTGCTTGTAAATCACAGCAAACGCGCGTTTCGTGTCATTTGGGTCCCTTTTCGCATAACGCGTTTCTCTGGGTCGAGAGTCGGCATGCAGGCGGCGGCGGCGGGGGAGGGGGCCTTGAGCGGGGTCACGTGAGCGCGGATCGCGTGGCGGTGGCGCCGCGTCCCCAAGGCCGCGAGGCGAGCGGGCGAGGGGCGACGGGCGACTGGGCGGGCGGCGGGCGTGCACGGGGCGCGGCCGCCCACGGCGACGCCTGACCCCGCCGCCCCCGCCGCTGCAGGAGCCCCGGCGACACTCGCTTTGTGGATAACGCCTTCGTCTCCTTGGCGGCGTATTGTCCGACTTCTTTTGAAGGATGCTGTCATCTCCGTAAGTAGACACTCTGGAATACTCGTTTATTGTGCGAGTCTCTGAAATAGTGTTGTGCAGATATTTTCTAAGATATCTGAGTATATAAGAATTCAAACACCTGTGCAACTATTCAATACCGGTTCAGATGTACAACATGACCTAGACAAGCTACAAGACAAATAGCTAGGTTTATAGAGGTCTTCGAACTTACGACCCCTGAATGGAGGCATTGAATCCGTACACGCTCCAACCATCCTGGACACTGCACCAAGCTTCCATGTATTATACCAGATAAATAACGTACACGCTTTGCGCCGTCGCATGTGCATTTCATTTTCTCTGACCGCCACTGCGTAATGGGTCGAAAGTTCTCATGAAGTCCACGTGCCGGATTTTCTGATATTTTGAGGTGATATTTTTCCACAAATGAATAATATTTGAAAATTATGAGCAGCCAATAGTTTTTTTCATTATCCATTGATTATGTTTCCAATTACAAAGTTTTCTCTTGACAAGAGTTAATGTTTTATGTTGAAATGTCTCTGGACAAACTTTTATTGGCGTCAGATCGATATACTTTAGGAAACGGTTCATTCCTTTACACAGTGTTCACTATGTTCTGTTTCTGTAGTTACTTGCGTCTTGAAGAGTGTTAATTTGTAGGATAATAATAAATATAGTAATAATAATAAATGACCATAACAATTTCTCAACACGGGAAATAGAAAGTAACCGATGTTTGAAAACACTACTGAGAACACTATTGAGAATTTTTGTCTACATTTGAACAGTTAAGATTTTACTCTTAGTTAAGAATTTCTCTTCAATTGATTCACGTAATTTCATTTGCTGAAATGTCTCTAAATGATGATGAAATGTCTCTAAAAGATGTTATGCCATCTTGTTCTTCGATAGATGCGACGTACTTTCATCAATATTTACTGAAGCAAATAGCTTTATCGATTCCAATATATCCATCTTATTGGGAAATGAAGGAGAATAAAATTATTTAATACCAAAACTATCAAACTTAAATTCTTCATGCATAGATAATGCACCTGGATTCGCAAAAAAATAATTATCTATCTCATATTTTGCAAATAAGTACGCGAAATTCTTAAAATAAGTAATTTATCTTTTTTGTTGTGTTTCTTCTAACTCTTCTCTTATTACATCTTTTTCTTTTTGGTCTTCTTCCTGCTGTAATTCTTCAGCTATCACCCCATCTCTCAAATGTCGCGCCAAAGGCTTCGGTTATTCCATTCTTCTTCTTCCTACCCAAACTCATTTCGTTGTTTTCTTTCTTCCCGTCCTTCTTCTTTTTCGCTGCGAGGCCGGGCCGGTCGGTTCGGACCCAGTGTGCGTGCGGGCTGCAGCGCGCGCGCACTTAACGAGGCCGGTTGCCGTTGCGGTCCCCCCAACGCCCCCTGCGGTCGCGCCACACCGCGCCACGCCACGCCGCGCCACGCCACGCGCAATCGCTTCTGCGCATCGCACCTTCTGCGCCGGCGGCGGCGGATGCGTTCATTCAGCCAGGCAGGAGCGGATTAATAGCTAAGCACGCTCTTAGGGCTGCTGGTGTCCCCCCCTCCCCCACACATACCAATAATTTGTTTATAAAATTTTACTGTCGTTTGTAAATGTTTAAAATAAAGTTTACTTTTTATTAGCTTCACAAAAAATTGGTAAATTTGATGTAGATTTTAAAATATAGATAATTAATTAAAAAAGAATGCTGTAGTACTTTACCTGCAATTCTTTCAAATTATATTTATGAAGTATTTCGAATTTTTATATTAACGTTTGAGATTCCTAAGTTAATAATTTTTGATAACGTTTGCAGTATAAGAGTTAATGAGTGGAAGTTCCAAAATAAATAATGTTCAAATTGTTCACTTTTTATGTATTAAACGTAATTCCGTATTCAAAGAAAATATTTCTTTCTTCATCTACTTCATTTTTTCCTGTCCACCTCAGATGTTTGAAACTAAGTTTCCATTTAACAGCAACTAGAACTTCTAATTTTCACTCCCAAATCACAACGCCGGGGAGGTACCAAGCAATGCCTGCCCGGAAATTGTACCAAGCAACGGAGCATTAGAGGATCTGTGGGTGGTCAAGTCCTTATCTAGAGATTTCGCGGACTGCGAACGAGATCACGTCGCCGGCGAGAACCTGTGGGGTCCGGTGAAACCCTCTCCGGGCTGTGGGGACGGGAATTAGGCGCGGGGAAGGCGGGGGCGAATGGGCTTTTTCGCAGCCTCCAGCCCATCCGCAGTAAAGAGACTAGCGCCCGGACGGCAGTAGTGGAGACACTGGTCCCGACTAGAAGAAATACGAAAAGGTACAAGAAAAACAATGTATTCTTCCTCTTCTTCATCATTATCATCGTCATCATCATCATCATCATCATCTTCTTCTTCTTCTTCATATTATTATTATTATTATTATTATTATTATTATTATTATTATTATTAAAGACAATACTTGGATCATACGTGACTAAAAAAATATTTAAAAAATTAAAGATTATCTAAAGATAATAAATCTAATCTTAAGATTTCAAGGTTACTCTCAAAACGTTTCGCACTGTTTTTGATGCTGTAATTACATCGATAAATTGCACTTCTACTCGGAAGAAATCCACAGAAAACAAAGGGTTTAAAATGTATTCGCAATTCGTCTTCCTGTGAGCAAAGACTAGGAAAAAATGCTACATGCGGTATTTGGACTTCATCCTGCATGGAATTAAATGTTCAGAATGAAAGGACGCATAAAAAAGAAGTGAAAAACGAACTCGACGTACGAAACAGTACAGCTGTTTATTTATATTTGTAATATATTTTTTTGATCACTGTCTAAATATAGAGGAAAAGTGTCATTTTTTGAATTTATTAATACGAATAAAAAATCTTTTTCAAGAGTTTTTATTTTTTTATTGTCCGTCTTGAAACAACTGTACACACTTAACGATATACCTGTTTTGAAAGATATTCTGCCATTTACATTCCTCAATTTAGTGCGCGGCTCATACACTAGTTTGGGGGGCCGAGCTTTTGCTCATCACAAATCATCGAAACTGTGTGGGTCATCGCTTCGGCCCACAGCGCGCTGCCCTGCCGCCGACGGTGTGCGTGTGTGTGTGTGTGTGTGTGTCGGGGGGAGGGCGTTACGGCCCATCGCCGTGCCCTGATTGCCCCCGCACGGGGCTCGTGGGGTGGGATGGGGGGGCAGCCCTGATCCCGGCCGAGATGGCCGCGCCTGCGAGCCGGTGCGCCGTTCGCGGACGGGAAGAGGCCGCCTTACAGCCGGGCACCCGTAACGCGGCGCATTGCTCCTCGCCTCCCGGCCGGCTCTTCGCCGCAGTAAATTGGACGGCTGTTTCTGCGGGGGGATTCAATTCGAACGTGGCCTCTAACTATCGTGCGTTTTGCCACGCGGCTCTGAGTATTTATTTCTTTGGCTGCGGAACGGAGAATTTGAGTTAGAGTCATAAATATCGTGATTGCATTGTTTCTTTAGATTATGCAAGCAGTATAAATCAAATACAAAATATTTTTTACTCCTCAACATTATTCGCCAAAAACATCCATGCGACGTATTATATTAATATTTATTACATTATTATTATTATTATTATTATTATTATTATTATTATTATTTTATTAATGCGCTTTTTTATTGATCATACCGTGTAATTCAATTAGTTGTCTCCAAATAAATCGTAACCATTGAACTATTTATTTTAAAGGTCTTAAGCTTAAAATGTTACAGGGCACTTATTTTATTGTGATGCAGTTTGGAATTACGAGAGATAAATGGGTTATTATTAATGTTTACGAAGATTAATTTCTTTGCGTTACTGCAATATAGATTTTAAAAATCATTCAGAATGAGTCAATTTCGTCCATTACATGGTTCTGTTTTTAAACAAAACTGATGTTTTATATTTATATTTGATATGGTATAACATTGGTATTTAGATGTATAATCGTACTCATGAAATGAAAACATTTCTATCCACGCAATGCTTATAGAGTAAGAAATCATTTTAAGAAATGTGTTTTTCCCTTTTGAGTTTATAAATTTGAATACATCTGACGATTTTGAAGGACTGTGTGGCATCAATATTTCTGTACACTACTCTAAATTCACCTTTGACATATTAATCGTAAACTTAATACCATTGAGTAAATCCAGTTTCACATTACTCGTTTGACGCACATAGTAAAGTGCTTTCATTCGTTCGTGACCTGGAATGTTTACAAAAACGACAAAAAGCACTTTAAAAAAGCTGATGGAATTACTGTATGCAAAACCCCAAACAGTGTAATTACAGTATTAAATTATCACGCGAAATAGCAGTTCCTTCAAGCAATATTCAACGTGGAGCTGAGGACATCAACCATCTGTTTTCCACGGACCAGAATTGAGACACCAACTGGCCGAAGGCGCGGGCTCAGGTATTAATAACGATTCCGAAAAGTGGACCATCTGTTCACTTTCCAGTAATTGGCGACTTCATGACCTGCCTCGCGTGTGTCACCGAGGACTCAGCTGACGAGAAACAAGTGCGCTTGCTCCATTGGATTAAGAGGACTGCGTTCGCCCTTGAAACGTGCGACCTAATTTCAACAGAAGGACAGCCATTCTTTTGTTTTATTGCTTATTAACTGCTCAGTCTTTACAGGCCAAGGTGTAAGACTTGAGAGAGAGGAAAATATATAATTATTTTGAATATTTTAATGATAGAGTATAAACGCATTGTGTTTTTTTAAAGATATATATATTTGAGGAAAGTAAAATAAACTGCCTTATAAATAGAAAAAGAAAAATATATAATCAAAAGTGAATTAATTTTTAGAAGAATGGGCACAAGGTAATCTATTCTTACATATATACGAATGGCCGAGGCGAGGTAACAAAGAACATTAAATTACAACGCACTTGACTTTGAATTCGCTGTCCTAATCTGCTTGGAACTGATATTTTAGAGTTCATTTGGAGCATTGTAAGCAAGTGAGGCAACGTGGTCATAAAATATAAGTTTGTTACTGACGTGACTAGAACTATCCTTAATATCATGAATCATGTGAGTCATCTATCATATTTAACATACGTTTAGACTAAAAACAAGTGCATTGTTCTTCACGATCTTGACGTGATGATACGGACCACATGCAAGTACAAAGAAGTTTAGAATCTCATTGACCTACATACTACATGCAATTTGGTATTATGTGTTAGGAAATAGGTTTTGTTAAATATATCGCTAATAAATAGCTAATGGTGGCTATAAAACATACGCAGTAGATAATGACCAATGTAAATTCATTGACTTAAATGACCTTTTAAGTCCAACTTGCATCTCAATTCATTATTCACCTTCATCTTTCATGAAACGTTAAACTTATTTCTTTACGATACAGTAGTAAGCTCATACACACGGAACTGATTTATCTTGTTTTCGACGCCAAAGACAGACCAACTAAGAATTTACAGCCTTCTTTACCGATCAAAAAATCCGGAAACCTTGATACCTCAGAAACATTGAGACAATAAATACATAACGACCGTAAAAATTCTCGAACAAAAAGAGCCGTGAACTATCACGAACGAGATGGCGGCCGTTTGTCTTCGGGTCAAGGCCCGTGCAGCGGGAACTCCTCACGCCTCAGTTTGCTCGGAGAATCTAGGCGAGGAGGGGCTGAGCCGCGACGAGGCCGGCGGGGATGGTGGTCGCGGGGGCGGTGCCGAGGGGGGGGGCGGGGAGGGGCCCTTGACGCGCGACGAGCGCCCATAAATAAGGCCGCCGAGTCAGCGGCGGAACCGCGGCGCTTCTGCGCCTTCGAATGCTCCGCTCCTGATTTATGGGAGCGAACGCGGCGACGGACGCAGTGAAGGGAGGTCGCGGCTGCCGCGTCTACGCTCGGCGCAGCCCCGGGCGACAGCCGTACATTAGGCTTAGCTCAGGGGGCGAAGAGCGGGTGGAAGGTGCCGAATGGAGTTCTCTGTTGCTCGAAACACTCGAGATGGCGAGGAATTCGGCAAAATGTTTATTTGAATCTACTGCTTTGGATTGGTAAATTATTGCACTATACTAATATGGATTTGTGATCAGTGGAGAAGCTATTTATTCGAATCCTATTTAAAAATAATTGTTTATTATTTAAAAATAATGGTTATATACGTAATATGTTGTAAAAGTAGTTTTGTTTCATTGCTTGTGAGATCATATGCAGAAGTAAGTAACTCGCAAAAACTATATTTTTTATGACATTGAAGACAAATGAAGAGAGGAAAGGAACACACAATTTGTTCTATCGTAATTCGAAGATAGCTAAATATTCTCTATATTACAATTTCACTTTCTATTATTTCCAGGAAGACCAATTATCGCGTAATCAGGATATTAAATTATGTTTACTCATGAACTCTAACATTGAAAGAAAGAACAGAAAAAATACAATGTTGTTGTCAATAAACAGTAAATAATTTTTGCAAATGTTTCGTGGTTCCATTTCTATCTACTCCTTTTATGTGCCGTTTGATGTAATGAACATTTTGCTCAATTTAATAAATTGCACTACCCTCTTTTTGAAAACGTTGGGAACTATTTAGTGCCAGTTTATTTTCATAATGTACAATAGCATGTAGTATTGAAAAAAATTGACAACATGAAATGTTACGTTTATGATTTCGTAATGGCTCAAAGTTCTTCAGCCAAGCCACACAGTAAGGGTCAATGTAGTTTATTCTGGTAAGAAGTGGCATATTAAACAAAAATATTGAACTGAATTCGAAACGGGATCATAGGGCCACCAGTGTATTGGGCACTAGCATTGGTATATTGGGTACAGGGCCTCCTGTGGGGCGTGTTGTTTGGAGATCTCGACGCACGGCTACACAGGGAACTCACCCGCGGCAGGCGCGCTCTGCGGGGAGAAGACCATGACGGTGTTGCCGATGGTGGTAGTGAAGTCCAAGAAGCCGTAGACGGTTTGAGTGACGAACTGCTCCGTGTTGGCGCTGGGCGCGGCGGCCGGAGCGGCGGCGGGGTTCACGTACACGGGGCCTCCGGACGGCGTGTAGACGGCGCCCAGGACGAGCCATGCTGCAACAGAGAAGGCGTCGGAACATTACGACATGCGCTTGGGACGACCGGGGATAAATAATGGGCGACTTTCTCTGACAATGTGTCCGGCTCCTGGTACTACTTTCAGAGCTGATGGGATCTAAATTCTTGGAGTTTATTTCGGACCCTCACGCCACGTACACTGTTGGGTATGTCAAAAGAAGGCACAGCTGCACGCAGTAGTAAATTATAAAATTTAGTATCTTCTCGTATTGTTACATCGGTAAATGTGACAGTTTATAAAAAATAATTGTCTGTCAGAATATTGAAGAGGTTTACTCCTCCGTATAAGTCTGTTCTACGCTATAAAATGTATTTCGTCATTCTCATTGTACATCGTGAAGTAGCTCATAAAAATTTCACACTACTTATTAAAAAGACACAAAACATACCAGCAGTGTTAAATGTGTTTGTCTGAAATTAATTTAAACTGGACTGTTTCTATTGTAATTCTCGAAATAAATGTGTCTGGAGCAATTTGGAAAATTTACGTACAGTTTCAGTTACGTACTTCATGAGGGCATCTATTTTCGTGTTATTTTCGTAAGTTTAAAAAAAAGAGCGAATTTGTTAGAAGTTTCAGAACATAGAGATATTTAATCCCTCAATTAAATATTTCGTCTTTCATCAAACACTCCTTTACCTGAAAGAGACTCTGACATAATACAATTAAAACCAGTAAGAGGTCTGTACAATTCTAGTATTGCAGCCAATCGTTCGGAATAATGACATTCCCGGAACGGAAATGGGGGCAACGTTAATTGAATAATTTCAACCAAACCGGGTTTCGATTAAACAACTTCCAGCACGAACAGCCCGCAATTTCCTAGAAAACTCGTAGCGATCCTGTCATTCGTGTCCGATCTCCGTCGGAACTCGGAGAAAAGCGAACGCGGAACCCTGTGTTTCGCCATTGAAAAGACAGTTGAGCGCTGAGCCGCGTGGCCTCTCGGGCGAAGGCGGAGTGGACGATCGCTTCTCGTCGCACGGCACGGCGATCAATCACGCGCGGCGGCCGTCGCTTGACCTAATTACCCCGCAATTGACCTCTCCCCTCAGCGGAACGGCAGGCGGGCGGCGGGGCAGCGAAGGAAACGGCATCGGAGCAACGGGCCGGAGGGAGGTGTTGGTGGAATGGGACATAATAATGTGGAACATTAACTTCTTAGTGGGAGAATCAAATCAAGACGCATGAGTGAGTCGCAGTCTCTCAACAATTAATGCTCGTTGCATTACGATACTGTAACTTTTTATGTTTAATTCCAACTGCGTGAATGAATATTATTTCTTCAATCTTCTATTCTTTATGTTTTTTATGATAGTTTTCTCATGTTCTATAAGTTTTAAATGAGATTATCAATAAATCAATTAAGCTAATTATGCTTTGGATTTATAATGTTTTAAGCTTTACAAGACGGGTTAAATTATAATCAAGCCAATTAATAAATAGTAATAATTATTTATTTGATGTTTCATTTCTATCTTTCATTACTTAGGAGTATGTTAATCCACTTTGAGGCGTATTATTTTATTATTAGTATGATTAGAACTATTGTCAAAAGAGCTGAATTTTATCACAAATTTACCTCAACTTAACTTAGAGAATGTATTATACAAAATCATCCGACTAACACAAGTAACGAGCGAGTTAGTCTACAAGTCAAGAATAGACTATACATCAATCACAAAATAGAAAGGAACAATCCACACAATTAATAGACAAGACCTTGCGATTTGCATCACAGTTTTCTTTCACAAAAATCCACAGTTTTTTGTTGTTATTTCCTGGTAGCGATTGCCATTGCGCGCGCTCGATTCGCGTGTGCGGCCCCAAGCCACTCGGCGTACGGCGGCGGCACGCCACCCCCCGCGCCTACGAATTAGTCAGGTGAGAAGCCTCCAGGTGTGTGCGTGGGGGCGGGCGCGCTCACGCGGCCTTGGGATGAATGTTACAGCGCGCGTGACAAGCGCTGCAGCGCCGCGCGGCCGCTTGCGCAACGCGCGTCGCCCGGCGGGCGATAGGCGGTGGCGCGGGGGGAAGGGATAGCGGAGGGGGAGGTGGCAGTGGGCGGACGGAGGAGAAAAACGGCGGGGGAGGAGATGGCAGCGTTGGGGGAGGAAAAAGTGGAATATGTGTAAGGGAAGGAGGGGGTCGGTGGTGGGGGCGAGTGCGGGGAAGAAGATGGTGATGAGAGCGGAAAGGGAGGGCGAGATCGTGAACGGGAGCGGTGATGAAGAGACGGAGAAGGCAAGATGAAGCGGAATAGGAGTGGGTGAGGGCGACTGGCACAGGTGTCTGGGGCGGGGGTGAGGACGAATGTGTATCGAAAGTTGGAGCGAAGGTGGAAATGGAGGGACAGGAGTCGGGTGGTGGCGGTGGAGACATCAGAGGTGAGGGAAGAAAACGGAAAGTTGAGCTTTGGGAGGGAGCAAGGGTGTGAAGCTGGTGCAGATGCGGAGGCGAGGGAATTTCATGGGGGGCGGGAGCGGCAGCTCGAGTGTGAGCGAAGCGGGGTCAGAGGTGGAAATGGAGCGGCGGGAGCAGGGCGGTGGAGGTGGCGTTGGCGATGGCGGGGGCGTGGCTGGGGCAAGGACGAGAGGAGGCGCGGGCGGGGGTGGGGTGAGCAGGCAGTGGCTCGAAGCCACTGGGTGGTTGCAGCGAGAGTGGTCGCTCTGAGAGCGCTGGAGGCGGAATAAGCGGCGCAACACTAGAAGGTGCGGGCGGAGAAAGATAATTCTCCGCGTGAGACTGCCTGCTTAATTAACATGCATATGAAGTAAAAGTGGGAGGAAATGTCAGTGAGTTGCATGTAATGTTGAGTCGATTGAGCAAAGCTAGTATTAATTAAAAATGGAAAGTGAAACAGCCAAAAGCGCTTTCGTATTTAATATTCCAGTGTTTGGAATTATAGGTTTATTTAATTTTTCTTCTAGAACTATTTTGAATTATTTTGCGTTCTTAAGAAAATTAACATAATAAAACAACAAAAAGTATAGCTACGAAACTATTGGTTGGTATATTTCGTCAGCTGCCAGTGACTAATAAATATAAATGATCGAATTTGCAGAATATGTGCTAGGATGCGAAAAAGGTCAATCTGAGATTTGAAAATATTTATTCGTTACATGTATACTACTCCTTCATTTCTATTGATATTAAATTAGAAATGTTGAATTGTCGGACAAATATTGATTTCTTTAGATGTTTTAGTAAAGTGTGAAAGGAGCATAATTATATAACTTATTCCGAATATTGAAAACAAAATCTCATTAATCTCCAAACAGCATTATTCATTGTACTACTTTATCAATAATGTCGTATGCCCTAAAAATTACCAAAGTTTTGCCTTTAGTGAAAGTAAACTATAATATTTTATCATTTCGAAGATCATTTTTGTACCATTAAGAGCGTTATTTTCTTATATGACTGTGTATTCCATCAACTTCTTGCGCCGATGTCCTTGGACTTCGAATCGCGGCGGTCGTTTGCAGCGCCTTCGTCTTCTAGAGCCCGGCATCGCGTTTTTGACAAGGGATCGGAAGCGCTCTTTGCAAACTGCTCGTCGAAGCCCGCATCCCCGCCCCCGTCACCGTCCCTGTCCCCGTCCCATTCCCCGCCCACACGGTAGAATAAGTTCGTATGTAGGGTTCGTATGGTGAATGACCAAACGTTGGTTTCTGGACCTTCTTTTAGGAAGTGAAGAGACAATGACACATAATAGTTATCGAAAAGGAAATGATGTGCAATTTAGATACTTCAAGTTCGAAAAATTGGACATATAATGTTAACGCCGGCAGACAAAATTGTCGCTGTGTTAGTACCATGGAGGATTACCATTTATAGAACGAGTTAACTGATTCATCCCAAGAGCAGTGGAAGACGGTATCAATCCGGTCCAAAGAACCTTGTTCCGACCAGGTCATAACTCATTTCCGTTAAACAGAACTACCCCAGCGTACCGAACAGAGCAACCGGCTGGGGATCAAACGTCAGTTTTGTTCTGAAACGGGAGGGGTGTTGTGGCTGTCCTGAACGAAGTCCAGCTAGTTCGGGAAACGCAGGGAAAGGGCGTGGCGATTGGTGCGGACTCAGCATCAGACGGGCAAGGTGATGGCTCCGGCGAGGGGTTTCGAGTGCGCGGCGGGGCGGGGCGGGGCGGGGGGTGGGGGGCGGGCGGGGGAGGGGAAGGGGTTGGGGACGGTGACGTCCGCCTCGCGGATGAT